AGCCTAGTTTCTACTCGACTATGGTTTTCTAGTTTAAGGTTCTCAGCCTTCTTTTTTGGTCTAAAATTGCGTAAAACTGCCTTATTCAACCGTTACTACCCTTTGGTAGGGGTATAAGGGCTTTTCAAAAAAAATTTATAAAACGTGAAGGGTCTACCTTCCCGATTTAGTGAGTTTGAAAAAACTATCTTAGAAAAATTTCACCTCTCTTTTTTCGAATAATTACAGATTTTATGAGTAAGCTCACCTAATTTCTGATCTATTAGTACCAAGATCAATTGGATCTGCCCAGTTGTTCCAAAGTTATTAACCAAAACGTCTTTTTTCTAAAATCAAAAAAATTTCTCTCTTATAGGTTCCGCCTAACTTTTTTCGCAATTCTGATCTTTGCTACCTAAAAAGTTTCAATCCGAGCTCAAAAGGCCTATAGTCTGCTATTTCAATGCAAAAAAATAACCGGTCTAAAACGCTCCAGCTGAAAAAAATATCCAAAGTCAATGCTATTTGGACCCTTCCGGATTGATGAATCCACTAAATCAAACACATTAAGTTCGATTTTTCTGTAACCCGGAAATTTATCAGCAAACGGGTTTTGAAACCTGTCGATTCACTAGTGAACATTGTCCGAACAACAATTTTTACTGTCCTACTCGAAAACTTCAATTGTTTTTTGTTTTGTGGCGTTCCGTTAATTGAAAAATCAAGAAAGTTCGGTTTTTTGTACCCAATTAGTACCAACCACTTCTGAACTAAACTCAACCGGTTCTACCTATTTTAATTGTACAGTTACGATGTAATACACTATTTTAACGCTTTTTCCTTTACAAAAAAAAATCGAAATATCAAAAATCACGATTTGTGGGGGGTCAAAATAGCGATGTTTTGACCCTAAAAACCGGTCTGCTTACTGGGTTTCTCTTTGAAAAACGGTATAGGAATATTAATATAGGCTGTATAAATAGTAATACCCATCCTGATTTGTTCAATCAGAGTTAAGATGCTTAGCTCGGAAGTTCGCAGTTCGGTGAAGGGTCACTTCAGTGCAGTCTTTCTCGAGCCCCCGCAGATTAATATCCTACTTTTTGTACCAAAAGGGATACAAAACTTGTTAACGATACCCATCAGTCGATTGTTGTTATCCTTGGGGCCATTCTTATCGCTCCTTGCACTGCTTGCCGGATCAGACTTCTTCTCTGATACCGAGACCCTTCCGGATTGAGCGCAAATTAGCATTAACGTGCTTAAATACTCAAATAATCGGGAGGGTCGGATCACATCTCGTGTGGGGTTCTGATTTCTACTAATTTTATACTTTTTTAACTGTTTTTGTTTTTATCGGTTATTTATTTGTGTTTTATTTTTTCTTAGGTACTATACCACTTTTGGTTCGGTTTTTTGAATTTCTTTAAGTGTTTTTGGTCACAAACCTCTCAAGGAACGCTGGGACGGCCAATCCACCCACCAGTCCTGGTACGCAAAATTTCGGTCTTAACTAGGTTTAAAAACTATTCACGGGAATCCGGAAGGCTTCCGCGTTCCAAACTACCCTTCCGCCCCGGTGGTTAGGGCCTTGTTATTATTATCCGCTCGGCGCGGAGTCCTCGTTAACAGTTCTGCCGACCATGATGTTAAAAAGAATAACACCCAGGAGCGCCATAAAAACATCTATGTAAGATTCGCCCGGAAATACATATCGACGGAAAATAAAGCTAGGTTCCAAAACGACTGGCTAGCGTCTAATCACAGCTCTACATGCTTTTCATCGTCTATACCAAAGCCAGTTCTTTTGGTGGTCTTTCTAACATCGGGTCGACAAAAAAAACGTTACTTTTTCCAGCTTCGATCAGAACCCTCTGAATAATTTAATTATATGCAAAATAGTGAGCTCATGGCTGGGTCTCAGTATCCCCAGATCACGAGGTCACTCCCTAAAACAGGGCTACTTCTTATATATTATATTACTTTTGTTTTTGTTCAGTAGATAAAATTCATCATCTCCATCGAAGATGGAACAGCACTTCCCCCAAATATCAGAGCCAATATTTTGCTGATTCATGGTATGTACAAGTTGATGGTTTAGCAATGAGCGCGTTCTTCGCTGTAATTCTGGTAAACCTATGGCTGAAAGTGCACGAGTTTGCTCTAAGACAAGAAATACCGGTGGGAACGGAGGTACAGCAAATTAATGACAATAACGGCTTGTGCCCATGTTGCAGCAGGAAAATCACATATAGATCAAAGGGGGTTGAATACGAGAGTTGCCGAAACTGGTATCATCTAAAAAGCGGAAAAATATACGAATACGATGACATATACGCATCAATCACCGAAATAGTCAGGTACTGTGAAAGCTGCTGCCGAGTTAAAAACATGGAGAAGGATACCCCCAGGTGAAGTTGTTCCTCAGGCATGTAGATGACATTGTTAGAACAATCAGAGGGGAGCCGAGTTGTCTTCTCGATAACGCCAATTCTCTTCATCCAAATTTGCAGTTCACTCTAGAGAAAACTAATTCGGAGTGGAATTTGCCGTTCCTCAGTTTGAACATAAATGTATCGCAGGGTAGGCGTGTAACTTGCAGTTGGTATCAAAAACCAACAGATACAGGGACTAGACTGAACTATAGAAGCTGCGCCCCAACTCAGTATACGCGTAGCGTTATCCAAGGCACTGTACACAGGGTATTTAGGAGTACGTCTAGCTGGGAGCAATTTGATAAGGCTATGGAAACTAATAGGGCGCAATGGCTGACAAATCAGTACCCTGAAATTTGGTCCGCAAAGGTGGCTTCAGACGCCTTGTGCAAGATCATCGAGGGCAAGGGAAAGCCCATGGATAGTTAGAGGTGTTTGTCAGTTCAATCACCAAAGGATGGGAAGCACCCAAGGCTGATGGTGCAATATAGAGGTAACCAGAGCCAATGTTTTGCTAACAGGTTACGAAAATTAACTAACGTTCAAGTGGTTTTCACCACCAGAAAACTAGAATCATGTTTACCATCACTGAAGTCAGCATTTTCTAATGACCTCAAGTTAAGAGTGGTTTATAAACTGTCATGTAGTGGTTGCACTTCCACCTACGTCGGACAAACTGTTCGACATTTGACCACTAGAATTGAGGAACATAAGAAAGCAGACTCACCGGTAGGCCTCCGCTTTCAGCAATGCCAACTTGAGGGAAGTAGCGCAGATCTTAGTTGGGAAATTATAGATAGGTCAAACAACCATACAAAATTGCAATTGCTAACGCTAGAGGCAATACATTTCAGGAAAGAGAAACCGGGCTTGAACACGCGCGATGAGTTTAGGAGCAGGGAGTTAACACTGACAAATTTGTCCCAAATTATTTTTGGTTTTTTATTTAAAACGTACATGTCTAAATCGAAATTATGACTCAGAAACTTCCAGACAAATTAATTTTAAAATGTATAATCAATTTTAGAGGTTAAAAGTATTTTAATCTTAGTAGTAATTTAGAGGTCAACTGTGACTGGCTAATTTTTTATCACGATGGTTTAGAACCAAATTGTATATAATTTATTGTAAATAACATTTGTAAATTGATGTTTTATCGTCATATAGATTTGTATATTGTAAAAAATCCTAACGATGCACATAATTGCGAAAACGTTCGAAATTTACTTTTTAGCAAAAATTTCTTCACCTTCCCCCAACTCCGAGCTTCTCATTATCTGAAAACGAATTTGGAATTAATTAAATTCAACTCAAGACATTCCGGGAAGCTAAAAGTTTGTATAAAGCAAATCAAGTTCGAATCCCGAGACCTTTCCGGATTCTGGAATCCGGAGAAATAACACTCTTATTTCTTCTCGGAAGGCTGGACACTTCGTCCCAACACCCTTCCTGGTTCTTGTGAACTGCTCGGTAACGACTGTAGCGGCACAACCGTTACAACTGGGAGTGGTTTCTGACAATTTCTAACCACAATTTCAATCTTCTGCAGTTTTTTCGTAGTTGTTGTCACAGACCACTGTTGTTCTGCTTTCGCAATTTCAGTGTGTGCGAAATGGCAAAAGGTTACGTGTCGTTCACATCCAAATTGAAATTTTGAAAATTAGCATGTCAGTCAAAACTAACCCTTCCCGATTTGTCTGATCGTTCAATTAGCGTCATTAATTTATCAAAACCATCAATCTTCCCAGTTAGATGTTCCCATAAAAATTCGAATGCGAAATTGGCTTTTGACCATTCTGGTCCAATGTCACACATACCTAACAAAATGATACTGGAATTACTTCTACAAAATATACACTGAATTCAACTTATGTTCCTGGGCTTTTATATGCAACTGTGGACTTTGCAACCCGGTGCAGAAAGTCAGCTCAGCCGTCAAGTGATGGGTGCAAAAATACTTGTGTAAAACACAGAAGCCTAAACTCTCTCTCTCGCTCTCTCTTACATGCTTTCATACTTGTTTGATTGAATAAGATCACGCCTTCTTCAAACAGATTATTTTCTATGTTCTACTCATAAGATATTTTTTTTACTGATGAAGATTGTTTTCGTAGATGTTTTTGCTTGAATAGAGAGCAGAATTCCACGTTTCTCCAATGAGTGCAGAGCCGAAATCCAACGTCGTGAAGAATTTTGCGTCTTCTAATTCAAAGAGTCTCTCGTCAATGCGTGGCATCGGACATTCATCTCATCGTTGCTGCGTTCAAATAGCCGAAGTCACAACAAAACTTTTTTCTTTGCCATGAACACGCCGCAAGCCAACGGAGACTTCGACGGCTCCATCAAGTCACTTTCCATCATTTTATCAATTTCTTTCCTTACTCTTTTGTTTAGAAAATGTTTTTTGGATTTTGACTGGAATATGTATGAAGAGACTCCTGACATTAGCATCGATTGCCATGATACATTTGACCTTTTGATTAGCTTCTAGAGAAAAGAACAAAAAATCTTTAATGTTGCACTTATTTGTATATTGCAAAGTTATTAGCGTTTGGAGCACACGAAACTAGATTGATATTTTATTCCAGAGTTTAATAATGGGAGAAGGTGGTGATAAATCGGGCGGAGCTAAGCAGGTCACGTATAAAGTCATCATTGTTGGACCTGGTGCAGTAGGAAAGTCTGCCTTGACATTGAGATTCATGTACGATGAGTTCGTTTCGGACTACGAACCAACAAAAGCAGATAGCTACCGTAAAACAATGAAAATGGAAGATGGGTCTGAAGTGGCTATTGATATTCTTGATACTGCTGGTCAGGAAGATTATGCGGTTATTCGAGACAACTATATCAGATCTGGGCAGGCGTTCCTGTGTGTATTCTCTGTTTCAGAAAGAAGTACATTTGAGGAAATGGATGAGTTTAGGTTAGTTTCTGCCTCGATAATCAAAAATTGATTGGAGCCTAGATTACCCTTGCGAATAGTAAGGGTATTGCAACCGACTACAAGACTTACCGTTAGAAACCTTGTTAACAGGAATCGTCTGCGGGAACCTTCATGTTACTCTAGTAGTATAGCTTGGTCCGACCGTTCCGGTGCTCTTTTTGTTTGGTGAATGCAACGTGGCGACTATGTTTGAGACGACAAAGTTCATGGGATCGATTCCGGCCAGGAGATATTTTTTCCGAAACGAAAAATTTAATTGTCGGACTTCGTTTGCCTTCATAATTTTTTTGGGCCTATTTCTTTTGGCAGGGAGTTTTTTCTTTTTGTATATGACGAGCTAGTAAACACAGTGTCTGATTCTGAAATATACTTTTTTTTCAACCCAACTCGCCGATAAAATTTGCTCGTTGTCGCATTTATGTTGCATATAATTGGCAGTTTAATAGCATCTTTTCTCCAATTTATGAAAGACTAGTGTTTGGTTTTTGTAAGCTCGACGGAACAAGTCTGTATGGCTATCGACATAAATACTTCGGTGTCCGAGGGCAGGCTCGAATCACGTCGAAGCCATTTATTTTATACTTCATCGTTCTTTGTAGCCATGCCAACGAACCGGTCATCCATCCTTCAATTCAGCCATTCATCCAACCAGTCATCCGTCAACCCATCTATAAATCCAACCATTCGTACTTTAATTCAGTATTCACTCAAGCCATCCATCTATACAGCCACCCATGCGTCCATCCAGCTTGCCTTCAATCCGGCCGGCCATCCTGTCGTACATCCATCGATCCATCCAGCCATTCTTACAATCAGATAACCATCCATCAATCCTACCCGTTTTTCTGTTAAAGAAGAACGTTATAATTTTAAGGAGCAGCTTTACCTGTAGCGGGCCTGCTAGTTGTTTTACAAAGTGGGTTGACCGAGAATTGTTCTTTGTTCAAACAACATAAACAACAAAATGGTGACTACCGCAGTCGCGCCAAAGTATTGCGAGCTTGTAAGACTAGAGAGAGAGAGGGGACACTTTATTGTTTCAATATACTTATGCAGTTGCAGAACTGATTGTATAAGAATCTAGTGTACAATATTACGCAATGGTTATATAACATAACAAGAAAAAACATAAATTACTACGAGGACGAATCAAATAATTGATTTAACAAAATAAATGTCCTTGGATGCGGAAAGACTCTCCTTATTGGGTAACAGAATTCGTACCTTAATTCAGTATTAAGGTACGAATACAAAAGGTAGAGCCTGTTAGCGCCTCCGCGACCCCTAACTGGACTGTATGTCAGGAGCCTGCTAGACATTAGTAGACGCATGACATTGGCAAATGCAGTTCTTACAAACGACTACGACATCATCTGTCTAACTGAAACATGGCTCACAACTGCAGTACCAGACCAGGCCCTCTTTCTATCAAACTACACAATACACAGAACAGATCGACCCAATACGGGTCAGAACACTAAGCACGGCGGAGTCCTCATTGAAGTGAAAGGTTTAACTCATAGCAGAATAGAACTCAAAACCGAACTAGAATGTGCTGCCATCGAAATCAAATCTCGTCAGAAGCAGATAGTAATCTGCTGCTTCTACAATCCCCCCAAAAACAGCCCGTATAGAGCATCTCCCGACAACATAAAAGACGTCTTAAAACAGCTTCACGACTCGCTTGGTGACAACTCATCGCAACTCATCCTAACCGGAGATATAAATCTTGCAGAAGCAAACTGGGACAGCCTAAACTCAAACGACGAATACGAAGCCAACATACTGGACACTCTAGAAAAGTACGATCTACATCAGCTAATCACGTGCCACGAAGGCAGGAGCCTCGATGTATTCCTTGCCACTGACCCGACTCTTGTGCTAAGTTCGGCTATCGACTCAGCACTAGAAGCACAATACTCATCAAACGGAAAAAAGTGTTCCGATCATAACGCATACAAAACTTATTTGTCCCTACCAACTTCGAGCAAAATAACAACCCCAGCTATTAAACGCGCATACCAGAAAACCGACTGGGATGATTTCAACAAACAAATCGTCAGCCAGCCATTTACACCATACTGCTACAGCAACATTGACGTCCTACTGTTACAGTGGTACAAATGGCTCGAGAACATCATCGACGAAAAAATACCCCGAGTCACCAAACACAGGGCAGAAATTCCACCCTGGTTTAGATCATCCACCTCACATCAAATGAAGATAGTCGCGACAATGAAGCGTAAATACGCAAAAGCAAACTCACTCTCGCTACTCCTGAAAATCAAAAAAGCTGAAAAAAGCCTAAACGAAGAAATCAAAATGGATCAAGCCATATTCGAAGCTAAAGTATTCAAGAGCCGCCGCATGTCTGATCTTCAGAAATACTTGAAATCGATACACAAAAAGCATTCCCTACCAGACGAAATGTTCCTTAATCAATCACCGGACACAACTGAAACAGCAGTAAACAATGAACAAAAATGTTCTGTTTAACAAATTTTTCACCCAAGTTTTCCGCAAACAAGGTGAACTAACCGGCAAACAAACTTACATAAAATCAGAAACAAACCACCTGAAACTATCCGAGGAAGAAATAACCAGATGCCTCCAATCACTGAAAACAAAAAAAGCATGCGGTCCGGACAACATTGGAAACATTATCCTGAAACACGCGACATCACTCGCAAAATCTCTAAAGCTCATTTTTCAAACCTGCATTAATAAAGGATCATTTCCACGCCGATGGAAAACCAGTGAAATAACACCAGTCTTTAAAGAAAACAACAAGGCAGACATATCGCAATACAGACCCATCAGTCTTTTGGCAAATGTATCAAAGGTATTTGAAAAAATACTCTTCGACCGATTATATCCAACAATCGAAACTAAACTACACCCAGCACAGTTCGGTTTCAGAAAAAACAGATCAGCGATCATACAACTTCTGTTGTTTCTGAATGAAATTTATCTGGAAAACGACATCAAAGAAAACGCTGAACTATGGGTCCTATACGTAGACTTCAGTAAAGCCTTTGACAAGGTCGCACATCAACCACTGATATCCAAAATTGCAGAAATGGGAATTGGCGGGAAAATCCTTGAACTACTAGCCAGCTACCTAACAGCACGAAAACAATGTGTTAAAATTGATAGAAGCAAATCTCCAGTCACGCCAGTAACAAGTGGAGTACCACAGGGTTCAATACTAGGTCCGCTCATGTTCCTGATATACGTTAACGATCTTCCAGAATCAGTCAAACCGAGCACTTCTTTTGGCTACGCCGACGACTTTAAAGTAATTGCAAAGAACTACGAAGAAGCAATTGTCCTCGGAACGGAAATTGAAAAGTCTCAAAGTCTCAAAAACCAAATGGTACTAAATATGGGAAAAAGTAAGGCACTACGCATTAAAGGAAATACAGAGCCTGTGAGTTCAAAAGGCGTGAAACTAGGCACTGTCAACTCCCAGAAAGACCTAGGAGTGATAATGACAAAAAACATCTCGTGGAACGAAAACATTAAACGTAGGACCGGTAAAGCATGGCGAGCCTTCTTCAACCTCAAACGTAACATCCCATGCTATGCAAATCTCGAAACAAAATTGAACGCCTATGTAGGTTACGTCGTCCCTGTCATTTCCTATGCATCGCAGGTATGGTACCCATCAAAAACCGAAATGCGGGAAATCGAAAGAGTTCAACAAAAAGCTACTACATGGATACTTAACTACTCCATCGGATACAAAGAGAGACTACGTACCCTGAAGATCTTACCACTCTCAATGTACATCGAACTCCATGATACACTGTTTCTTCAATGGGTCATGGACGGTAAATACAGCGTCAGTGAAGATTCAATTCCAATATCACTGAGAGAAAGCACCACGAGACAATGCAGCGAATTCGAGCTCAACAAAAACCGCATCAGCAAAACAGACGAAAATTTCTGGACGAGAGCCCCGAAATTTTTCAATATACTCCACAAACAGTTTCGCGACAACCCGACGAAAAAACAACTGACAGAAAGTTACTTCAACTACTTTGAAAACAGTTACAATGAGCTAGACACATGCACCTGGCGTGTACTGTGTTCCTGTGGATCGTGTAACCCCTACCAAAAACTCATGCCAGCTGAAAACTGAAGGGTTGACACCCCTGGGCCAATGAGCCCTAAAGCCTCTACTACTACTACTGTTTTTTATCGGGTTGTTTTTTGTTCGTTTCATGATTGCTTCGGACTGTTTTGTATATTCACCCTTCAACCTATAATACATGATGCGAAGCTCTGCCCCGAATCTATAACGAAAACTACTTTGAAAGATGTTGGTTACTCTCAGTGAACTATCAGAGGTTGCAAGTTTTGCCTCGAAATCGGCTGCTCAAATCCTTTTAGTTTCCGAGATTTGACGTTTTTTTATGATTTTTTGAAAACTATCGTGAAATGTATGCTAAAAAGTTCACATTTGGAATAACCAACTCTGATGTTGGCTGGTTGTAGGGCACTTTCAGAGGTTACAAGTATGGCCTCCAAATTTGATTGCTCAAATCCTTTAATTTTAGGATATGACGTTTTACGATTTTTTGAAAAAAAATTCAAAAACTTGCCTTTAAAAATTTTCAACTATAAGCCCTGAAATTATTTAACAGGAGGCTATCGATGTTTTAGATTCACTCCAATCTCAGTTACAAAAAATAGCAGCTGTCAATTGTGTGTGTTTTAACCTTGAAGCTTTTGTTTCATCTTGATTGTTTGATTCTTTATTGGGAATTAATCGAAAAGTTAAAGAAAATTATATACCTTGCGATTTGGTAAAAATTGTAGACAAACTTGAGTAACATATGACTAATTAATGCAAACTCAAGCGGAGCTCTGATGTGACAAATTTGACTGTCAATTTTAAACATTTTCTTTGATGCGACGAAGAAGGCATTTTATTTTTAGTTTCCGAGAGAAGAGTTTTTCAAATCTTCACAAAATAAATTTCAAAAATTACTTTCAGCAGTTGCAGATATGGCCCGCGTACGCATGATTGTGCAAGCTTTCAGTTTCATAGGTATCACGTTTTTTTATACATACAAAATTACAAATTTTTCGACCCTTTGGCGGGCTGATAGTTTCCTCTCAAGGGTTGCAAATGTGCCCTCAAAATTTGATTGCTCAGATCCTTTCATTCTTCTCAGATCCATCGATCGATCCTTCGAAGAAGCCATCGATCGATCTACCCATCAGAGTACTCACAAAATGTGCCAATTTTTTTTCCATATATGACGCCTCAAATCCGTTAATCTTTCGGTATTTGACGTTTTTTCAATAAGTTTTTGAAAGAACTTTAAGAAACGTAGGTTAAAAAATGTGTATATGAAATTCCCAACTCTTTTTTTTTGTCGATGTGAGGTCCTGTAGTTTCTGAGAATGAAAAAACAATGATTTCAAATTTTTCACAAATTTCATCAATGATTTCAAATTTTTCTGTCCGTCAAATATGACTGCTCATCGCCTTTTAGTTCTCGAAATAAGGCGTTTTCTTGCTTTTTCAACACTCTCAATTAAATTCTCCCCCTTGGCGGGCTGATAAATTACTCTCAGGGGTGGCAGATTGGGCCTCTAAATTTCACTGCTCAGATCCTTTCAGTCCTCTCAGATCCATTTATCGTTCGTTCCAAGAAGTCTTCGATCGATCTTCCCATCTGAACAACGATACATCCATTTAAAATCCATCTAGCGATGCATCCAACCAGTCATCCATCCAACCAGCAAATCATTCATGAGTACGCCCATTTATCCATTGAGCTTCTCCAGCCCTCCATCATACATCAAGCAATCCCACCAGGCATCCATCAAGCCATTAATTCATTAAGCGGTCGATCCATCTAGCCATGCATCTGTTAAGTCAGCCATCTATATAGTCATATAACCATTTCCAAGCCAGCCATCCAACCAGTCATTCATCGAATCAACCAACCAGCTGTCCATGCAATCAAGAAGCACTCATCCATTCAACCATCACTCCATGCATTCAGTTATTGATATTTTCATTTTTTCATCCATACATCTGGCAATCCATGCAACCAATCAACCAGCCATCCATCCATGGATCCCTCCATCATGCCATCAATCTGTCCAGCCATACATTTATCAATCCTTTCATCCATCTAGCTATCTATCCATCCAACAGTCCATCCATCGATTAATACTTGCAGTTGTTTTTTTTTAAATTTGTTTTAATTTGGATGTATTGCCAGATGAATGAATGACTGAATGTAAAGATTCAACTAACTATTTAACCATACATAAATGTAGTCATCCATAAATCCAGTCATCCATTCAACAAAACAGTCATCCCTCGAAACATCCATTTATTCTGCTATCCTTCCATCCTGCTTTTCAGGCAACTATCCATCCATATACATAGCCATCCATTCTCTTATCTTTTCAGCCATTCATCTAACCAGTCATCCACTTATCTAGCCATGAAGGCATCCATTTATCTAGCCGTTCAGCTATCCATCCATCCTGCCTTGCAGTCAACCAGCTCTGCCAGAAATCGTTAAAGGAAACTACCTTGAAAGAAGTTGGTTTCTCCTAATGTACTTTCAGAGATTGCAAATTTTATCTCAAAATGCGGCTGCTCAAATTATTTTAGTTTCCGAGATTTGACGCTTATGATTTTTGAAAAATTTCGTGAAACGTATGTTAAAAAGTTCAAATTTGAAAAATTCAAACTCTGATGTTAGTTGGTTAAAGGACACTTCCAGAGGTTGCAGATAGAGTCTCCTAACTTGATTGCTCAAATCTTTTGATTTTTTTTAGTAAATGATGTTCTTCAATTTTTTGAAAAAAAAGCAAAAACCTTGGGTTTCAAAATATTCACTGTGAAATTCTCGAACCTATAGTCCGGTGTTGTCAGGGTAATTGCAGCAGATTCAGTTTCCGCGTTCGAAAATGACTGCTCAGCGCTTTTTAATTTCCGAGAGAAGGCGTTTTCATGGTTTTTCAAAACACCACAAAAATAAATCTAATTTTAGAGATTTTTTTGCGGTGATTTGAAAAACCATGAAAATGCCTTCTCTCTGCAATTGAAGCTATGGCACATATAGGCATGGTTGTTCTGTTTTATAGATATCGGTTGTTTTATAGAAAATTTTCGACCCCATGGCGGGCTGATAAATTGTTCTCAAGGGTTGGAAATGTGCCTTGAAAGTTTGATCGCCCAGTTCCTTTCGTTCTTCTCAGATCTATCTGTTAATTCTCCCAAGAAGACCTCGATCGATCCACCCGTCAAAGTTTGCACAAAGACTGCATTTTTTCCATATCTGACTCCTGAAAGTTTTCGAGATTTGACGTTTTTTTTTTTGAGTATTTCAAGAAACTTACGTTAAAAATTGCTTATTTGAAAAAGCCACGTCATATGTTTTAATTAATGTGAGGGTTTTCTCAGAGGTTGCAAATTTTTCCCCCAAAATTGATTGCTCAATTCTTAGTAGTTGCTAAGACTGACTGTTTTGTATTTTTTGAAAAAGAATTTTTCAAAAAATAAGATATTGAAATTTTTAAAAATTATGAATTTCCGAAACCTATAGTTGGATGCTGTAAGGGTATTCTAAGGAGATTTATATCTGTATTTTGAATATGGTTGCTCATCTATTTTTACTTCTCGGGATAAGGCGTTTCAATGCTTTTTCAAAAAAAATTCTCCTACTTTGGCAGGCTGATAAATTACTCAGGGGTTGCAGATGTGGCCTCTTTTTCGCTGCTCAGATCCTTTCAGTCCTCTTCGATCCCGTGATCGATCGTTCCAACAAGCCGTCTAGCCATCGATTGATCTGCCCATCCGCACAACGATACATTAATCCAACCATTAAACCGTTCATCAAGCGATTCATCCAACCAGCAAATCATTCTTGAATACACCCGTTTATCCATTCAGCCATTCCATCCATCCATCAAGCCATCCAATCGGCCATCCTTCTAATATCGATCTAGCCAGTCATTTTTCATTTCAGTCATCCATTCATCTGGCAATTCATCAACCAGCCATCCGTCCATGGATTTTTCCTTCATGCTCTCAATCTGTCCAGCCATCCATTTATTAAGCCTTTCATTCATCCAGCCATCTATTCATCCATCCCACACCCCATCCATCTATTCATACATGCCAGCTATTTTTTGTTTTAATTTCTTCAACCAATTATTTAACCATACATACATCTAGTCATCCATTCAACAAACCAGCCATCCGTCGAACAATCCATCTAATTAATTCATTCAGCTAATTAACCCTCCATGCATCTTATCTTTTTAGCCGTTCATCCAACCAGTCATGCTTGGATCCAGCCATCACTCAAGCTATCCAACCACTCATATGACCTCTCTCTCTCTGCAACCACCCAATCCGCGATCCATCAAGTCACCGTCCGTCTGGTAATCAATTGATCTATCGAACCATTCATCCATCCATAGAGTCATCAAACATGCAACGAGCAATCTATGGAGCCATCCATTTACGATCTAGCCATTCAGCTATCCATCCATTCTGCCCTCCAGTCAACCAGAGATCATCTATCAGTCTATCCGTACCCCCATCCTGCCATGTATCCATGCATGTTATGATCCAATCAGCCAGCCATCAATCATCCGGCAATCAATCTTCCCATTCAGCCAGTTGTTCATCCAGGTCTTCGTCTAGTCATCCTTCCATTTAGATGCCCATCCCTCCCACATCGATCAAGCCATGCATACATCTAATTGCCCATGCATCCCACCGAGCTTCTTTGCAGCAACCCATCATCGATCTAGGTAGGTGTCCATCCAACTAGCCTTCTCTGCATCCATCCATCCAAAAAGCCATCATTCATTCAGCTGTCCCTTCATACAGCCATCCATCTAGCTATGCAGCCAGCAATCATACCGTCTAGCCATCCAGCCAACCATCTAACTTGCCATCAATCCATGAAGCCATTCATCTAAACAGTTGTCCGTCCATTGAGTCTTTAATGCAGCCGTCGAGACATGCATCTAGACAGCCACCCATCCGTCGATCTAGATTTCCGTTCAACTTGTTTTTCCGTCAAAGATGAGCATAATCTTTTTTAGGAGCAGCTCTAGCTGTAGCGGGCTTGCCAGTTGTTTTAAAAATGGGTAGGCTGAGAATTGTCTTCTGTTCAAACAATATAAACAACAAAATGGTGACTACCGCAGTCGCGCCAAAGTATTGCGAGCTTGTAAGACTAGAGAGAGAGAGGGGACACTTTATTGTTTCAATATACTTATGCAGTTGCGAGGTCTTAAGCGCGCCAGCGATTGCGAGGTCTTAGGACTCGATGCGAAAGTTAGAGCCGGCTATCGTCTCCGGCGACCTTAAACCGGACTGTTTTGTATCGGGTTGTTTTTCAAAAAAAATGCATTTTTTTATCGCAAGTGAGGTGAAGCTCGGATTTGTCTGTTTAAATTAAGTTTTTCGACTTAGTGACTTCCGTCTCATTTCTCTCCGCGGCTTGAAGGTCCCATTTTCGCGAATTGTCAATCTATGTGTGCTTGCAAGTTGCTCGCAAAAAAACAATTTTGAGCTATAGCATTGGCTACATAAAAAACGATTTATCATAGAAAACTTGCCTTGCCCCAATAATGTATTGTTTTGTAGAGAAGCAATACTTCGAGTGAAAGAAGTGAACGAAATTGATGGAAGTGATCCACAAGGAGCTGCCAATCCGATTATACTTGTCGGAAACAAAAGCGATTTAGCTGATCAGAGGAAAGTTTCTTTCGATGAGGCCGACGCGAAGGCCAAGACATGGGGTATCGAGTACATTGAAACCTCAGCATTGAAGGACGAAAATGTCAAACAGGTATTTTTTATCAGTTTTTATCTCCGAGAAAATTAATCGCTTTAAGCACGTGAAGCTGTAATTTGGGTCGTATAATTACATGACATGATTTAGTAACTTATGAATGCTTATAATACTTCAGAAAATCTAATGAATCTATTTTTGAATTAATGGATTGATTGTGAGCACATGCAGTATATGAAAGCAAATTTTGAAAAATAACGCTAAGCTTAGCGCCTTTGGTTTTGTTTTCTAAATGGAAAAGAACAAACTGTTTTTGTTTATTAACTCTTTTTCTCACTGTCTGTTGGTTTTGTTTGAGGTGTTTGAGACAATAATGCATAAAATCCACCATATGGAGAAATCAAAATTGGGAGAAGGAAGCAGCACAACACAAAGTGCGAAGAAGAAGTCTAAATGGAAGAGAAAGTGCACCATTCTCTAGAACTGACGCTAGATCAGACCGGAAAATGTTTTTAAATTAACCTCGCTCTGAAATAAACAGTCCACCACTCTTCTTCTCGCAATTCCAATTTAACGAACCATATTGAAGCAAAATACATATTCTTATTTCTATGCGGGCGGTTGTAAGTATTTTGCTCAATCCGCCAACAAAAATATAACATAACTGCATCAAAAATTAAACGCGAGGTTTTTAGTTTCAACTGATTTTCGGCAAATTTCTTGATTTCAAGTGATCCGTTCTTCGATTTTTATAGAATACGTAATTTGTTTGTCTGATGAGAATAACTTTAAAGACCAATATTTCAGGCGGCCCTTCAATTTCAAAGTTTAGACTATCTTTAAACGCGAATTAAGTACGCAATGATGATGTTAATCAATATTACCGGGCTCTTAATCATTTAATAAGCGCACAGTGCTGGTTGATTGGTTAGTAATCTTGCCTAAGTTATAAGTCTCACCTAGGTCGTCAAAGTTCTTGACAATAGTTATAGTTTAAACATTAGTTAGAAAAAGGGATAACTTGAAGAGGTTAATCAGTTGTATGTTAAATACTGTTATAATAAAATGATGGAACAACTTAATTTGTGATTACCAAGTTGGGTTTGATTATACTCTTATGCCTGTTCATAATTGTTATCCTACTATGTGGAAGAGAAGCACGAGTTGTGGTTTCCGATAACAGTTATAGAGGTAGAGTCAGCTTCTAGTGTTGCAGCATTTGTCTTCAGACTATCTCTTTTGGTTTCGGGTAGTCCTGCTGTCGTACAGGTGTCCTGCTGTGTAGTGTCCTCCCACTCTCCGTTACTTAATTTGTTTAAGTTTAAAATATGTGTTATTTAACGGAAAAAATTTCAGAAAAATTATTAAAAAACTAGTTTCAATGCGTTAACCGAGAAAATGAGGCGGATAAAAAATCAGGGCGGTTCCTTAGGCAGTACACATTTTAGAAACAAGATTTTAAGATCAAAATTTTAAGAACAAGATGCAGAACAAGCTTACTCGTAGATGCATACGTAATGAAATTTCATGAAGTGTTATGTCTTACTGAAATACTGTTATTATAAAATGATGGGACATCTTAATTTATGATAACCAATTTGGGTTGTATAATTTTTTAATGCCTGTTCTTAATTTTTTAAATCTTAATAAGTGGAATAGACGTCACGAGTTGTAGTTTCCGATAACAGTTCTGGAGGTTGAGTCCGCTTCTAGTGTTGAAGCCCTTGTCTTCAGTCTATATCTACTGGTTTCGGGTAGTACGGCTGTCCTGCTGTGTAGTGTCCTCTCATTCTTCGTTACCTAATTTGTTTTAATCTAAATACCGTGTTATTTTACAGGTTTGCCTTGCCTCAATACTTTAATTTACTAAGAAACAATGAAGTTTGAGAAAAAAAGTAAGAATAAAGTCAAAGTTATTGAAAACTAGCTATAATAAGTTTTAACCGTTCAACCGATAAAAATGAGGCAAATGAAAAGTCAGGGCGGTTCCATAGGCGGTATAAATGCTGACTCAAACCTGTGCAGCTGATTTTTATATCGAATGCCTTTGTTCTACATCAATCCTTTCTTTCATCGGAAGTCACTTCAGTTTTATTTGAGTTTCTAGATGAAAATCGATCGAATTTCCTAGAGATCAGGACAATTGATCTGATTTGCACATGCTTTTCAGTTAATATTTCAAAAAATTTTATCCGGATTTATAAAACAAGGACCGGTGCTTTTCGCTAACAAAGAAATCAATCAGCCTTAGCGTTTCCGAAAACTCTGCATTTTGCTTTTGAAAGTATAGATTAAATAGGCAATAATGATTTTGCCGCCTTTTTAAACCTTGAGCATGATTTTTAGGAAAATAATGAATAAGGAAAGGAATAAATCCGTTCAGAGTTGTTCAATTTATCATTTAAGATTTATTTTGAGATTGTCACTTAAAGATTTTATTTTTAAAGGGACTTTTGTTACCATTTGAGTCGTGAACAAGTTGTGAATAGAAGAGATTCAAAAGATTAGACAAAAGTTTTAAAAATTTTCTGTTTTGTGAAAGTGTAGCAATGCCACAATCTACAATTATTTTTTAAGCTGCATTTTGACGCATGTTTTCTTTCCAAACTACTAGGCAACATTCAGTCAAGACAATACACTATTTAGTACAAAATTTTAGGAACAAGATGCAGAACAAGCCTCTCTCAATTCAACATTCAGAGCAAGATTTTAAACTGAAACTAATATTGCTCGTAGATGCATAAATCATGAATGAAAGTTGAAGTTTCATGAAGTATTATGTGTTACTGAAATACTGTTATCATAAAATGATGGGACAACTTAATTCATGATAACAGATTGGGTTGGAAAATACTCTTATGACTGTTCTTAATTTTTTTATCTTACTAAGTGGAAGAGAAGTCACGAGTTGTAGTTTCCGATAACAGTTCTGGAGGTCGAGTCCGCTTCTAGTGTTGCAGCTCTTGTCTTCAGTCTATTTCGTCCTGCTGTCGTACGGCTCTCCTGCTGTGTAGTGTCCTCATATTCTTCGTTACGTAATTTGTTTTGATTTAAATCCCGTGTTTTTTTTTTACAGATTTGGCTTGCCTCAAAATTTAAATTTACTAATTTTAGAAACATCGAAATTCCATGAAAGAAAACTAAGAAAAAAAAATGAAAATTAATGAAAACTAGTTTTAATGAGTCTTAACCGTTCAACCGAGAAAATGTGGCGAATCAGAAATCAGGACGGTTCCTTAGGCAGTATAAAACTGACGCAAACCTGTGCAGATAATTTAAATATCGAACGCCTTTTTTCTACATCAAGACTTTCTTTCATCTGAAGTCACAGACTTCAGTTTTATTTGAGTTCCTAGATGAAAATCAAATATTCATTAGATCAGGGCAGTTGATTTGATATGCACCTTCATGTCACTTAAATTTTCAAAAAGATTTTTTTATCCGGGATTATAAAACAAGGACCTGTGCTTTTCGCTAACAAAGAAATCAGTCCAGTCCGTCGTAGCGTCTCTGAGAATTTCTGCATTTTGCTGTTGAAAGTAAAGATTAAATAGGCAACACTCGTTTTGCCGCCTTTTCAAATATTGAGCAAGTTTTTCACGAAAGGAGTTAATAAGAAACGGAAAAAATCCGTTCAGAGTTTTTACAATTTATAAGTTTAAGAAATATTTACTGATTGACTGAGAATAATCTCGGTCACTTTTGGATTTCAATTTTAAAGGGACTTTTGTTATCATTTTGAGTTGTGAGTGTGAACAAGTTGTGAATAGAAAAGAGTCAAAACGTTAGAAAAAAGTATTACGAATCTTTTGTTCAGTGAAAGTGTAGCAATGCTCTAATTAGCAACAATTAGCAACAATTACTTTTTAAGCTGCATTTCCAGAACAAGCCTCTCTCAATGCAACTTTCAAAACATGGTTTTAAACTAAAACTAAGATTGCGCGTAGATGCATAAGTCATGAAATTTCATGAAGTATTTTGTCTTACTGAAACATCTAGGCCACTCGGTCTTCTTAATGCTCTAGTTGATGCATGAAACATGAATTTTCATGAAGTATTTTGCCTTACTGAAATAACAAAGCCGATCGCTCCTCTTAATGTTCTGCAATATCACACCAAATGATTGTTATGGTTATGGCCTCATATTTGGTGTGGCTCGTGGTTTTAAGCGAACAAGGGATCAATTGAGCAATCTCCCCCCCGTAATGACCAATTGAGCTATCTCCCCCCCCCCCCAGCAAAAATGAAAAAACTCTACAAAAAGACGTCAGCAAACGCAAGTAGATGGATGATGTGTTTACAGCACGCAATCAATTAACCGACTGAAGTTTATTTTATATGAGTATCGAGAAAAATTTTGAAAAAAAACTCGAAATTTATGAAAAAAAAATTCGAGTTTTGCAAATTTTTGTTTTAGGGACCGTAGGCTCATCGAGGAAAGCTATTTACCAGGGTTGGTGCTCTAGTCTTGTATCTGAATAGCAAAAACGGTTCTCCGCAGCACCTTAATATTGTACGCTAAAGCTTTTTATCATTTTAAGAAAGAAAAATAGTCGCTTTTTATGCCTGTTTTATTGATTCTTTTTTCAATCTGAATGAAACTTTTAAGCTTCGATATTGTAAATTTTGGCTTTCCACAGTCGTTGGAAAATATGTTTTATGATTTCATGTCATTCAAACTATTTTCAAGTGGTTATAAACATGTTTCAAGTACCTATTGATCTATCTCCCCCCCCCCCCCCCCCCCCCCCCCCCCACGCGAGATTGGGGGGGGGGGGGGGGGGAGATTGCTCAATTGATCCCGAACAAGATGTCCGTTTCAGATATAAGTCAGAGTAATTACCCAGTTAGGCTGATTTGAAATAATGAACGAGTTAACCTGGTTATTTTTCGAATATTATGATCATGTCCCGGCTTACTTGGCCTTGGTACGCTGAGCTGAAAACCGTAAAATCATTCAAAGGAAAAAAATGAATTAACATAAAAAGCAAAATTTGAGTATAAGGTTTCGAAAGTAGTAAGATGCGATAAGAGGTATGCATTAGTTTCATGCATTAATCATGAGCTGCGGGGCTCGTGAGAAAATATCCATACCAACCAACTTTGACTGCTCTTTGACATTTCACTACAAAGCAGTCTTTGACTTGTCATCGGCAGTATGAAGCAAAACGATGATGTAAAATAAATATTGAATGCACAAGAAGAATGTGATCTATAAATTAATGAAGTGATGCTCAGTGCCTCTGTGTTTATGGTGTCATGTTATGTGCTAATCCATATCAGTTCAGTAAATGGATATGCTTGGCTTCAAAACCACCCCCCTCCTCTAGGAAAAATCCTTACGTTTTAATTAGGTAAATTATTTACCTTTCAAAGTGGGGTTATTCTTAACCTGAAGATTCTGTTTGTGGTGCAGCTGGGCGACATGCTTCGTCTACCTATGTAACGACCTCAGAAGTTTCTAGACCTATTTTTGGTGCCAAAAAGATGCCACAAAGGTGACAAAACAGTCATTTTAGTCGAGATTTTTCTCGAATCAATTGTTTTTTTCAGGTTGGGCTGAGCTAGCTGAAAACATAATTTTTACATGGTTACACGAGGGTCGGTTTGTGATTGTGGCGCTGCTAATGAAGGGGGGGGGGGGGTAATTGTTCCAAGTAGATCTAAGCAATCATTAACAAAACTACTACACTATTAGTCGTGAAATTCATAGCTGTCAATTGTTTTTTATAGCCTGTTTAATGTTAGTTTCTAAAAGTCGAATTCCACAAATTGGTTTTATATTGAATGTTAATATATGAGCGCCCACTCCGAAATTTGTTGCTCTATTTTCTAATTCTATTGAAGGAAATCTGTCTTTTCAACATAAAAAATCCTACCTATTTTGAAACTGAATCAGTTAATTTTGTATTTATTGAAATTGTGATTATGGAAAAATGTTTGAAACTAATTTATTTAATTTTACCATTCTTTTCATCAAAGGTGTAAAAGGTATAAGGTCAACTTTCTTTCATTAGTTTTGCTTTAATTGCGGCACAGTTTTCTACAGGATACGCAAACAATTCAAGATTGCGGGTAGCAATCTTTATCAAATCGAAAGACGAATAGCTGGTTGCTGTGCGAGTAGCTCAGAATGTTCCCATCAGATTCATAAAAAACGACTAATGTTTTTTCTCCAAAATTAGTGTCATTTATTGTGTATGATGCCATGAGGGATGCGAAGATTCTAAATTTTTTTCCAGTTTTTTTTGCACAATTCTTTTCAATTTGAAAAAAAAATATTGCCAAAGAACCGCTAAATGAAGTTTTCAAAACTTGTTCACGTTTAGTAAGTGAGTTTTCTTAGTCTAACGGTCAATTTTTAAGAGTAATGAATGTTGTGAAGAATATTAAAGGACTTGCTGATTTTTTTTCAGGAAAAAGTTTTAAAAATGAGCATAAAAGTCTCTAATAACTACAGATGTGCGTTCATACATATTGATGCATTTAAAAATACACTTAGGTATACATGATTAGATAGCATTCTCTAAATTCTTTTTGAGTAAATAGCATTCTCCAAATACGAACGTGGAAATGGCGCCAAAAAACGTGAATGATTTCTAGTTTCGAAAGTGGAATTTAATTTTTAGATTTCCAGCGGAATGAAAACTTTACCTGTTGATCCAGTTTTCTCAAGTTGGGCTAATGTCATCAAACAAGCGCCAATCATAAATCGTTCCAGAAAATCAAAGAGCTTAAAGGTCGTCTTTTTTTTTCTTTGAAATTCGAAAAATTAAGATTTATTCAACAAAGTCAAGTGTTTTTTTGTTTACTTGCGTTCATTACTCTTTTCCAATCTTCGATTGGCCATGTTATTTATAACGAACGTTATTCGATTACTTTCTTTGCTCGAGTTTGACTAAAGAGTTGAAAAAATTCCGAACCGGATTCCCTTGACCCATGGAGAATTTTTAAATAATTTTTATATTTCGTTCGAATCACGGATGAAAGTGCTTGGTAATGTATAATTCAACTCAAACCGATGGTTATTTGAGGTACCTGTTTTTGCGTGGAAAACAAAGAAGAAACAAAAAGTATTTTGGAAAAATTAAGTTGGCATATAACTGGTTGAATCATTTGATAGCTCGGCTCAGAATATATTTGAATTGGAACGGCTAAGGCCCTAGATATCGTTTGCTATTCTCCAATTGTCTGTTCGCTGTTTTTTTGTTTTGCGTAAAAATGTGTTCGTCCATATTTATTTTGATTATGAAGCCTAATTCGCGTAGTTTGAAGGGAAAAATATTTTGACGCGCACCCTCCGCAAAAAGCAAAAAGTTTTAGAATATCAGAAATTTATACGACAAAAATTTTGTTTTCGACTGAACGAAAGTTTACCACAGTTTTGATGACTTAGTTACTGCTCGATAAAGGTATATACATGCTTTTTGCAGGCGTGTTTTCTTCAAACTATGAATCATTCGAGAAAAAATCATGTGTTTTTTTCCACGTTTGTGCAGTTTTTGTTTTAGCGTAGAGGATTTTTTATTTTTTGTCTGCTAAATCGCAATGCTAAGTTTGCGGCTCCACTTCGCTTCTGTGAAAATTGTTTGTGTTAGAACATTATATATCAAATTTCATTAAAAATTAAATCGTTGCTATTGGTTATAATTTTCAAACAACTTGGTTTCGTTTGCTTTACTTTTTGCCAGTCTAAAATGAATTATAAAAGAACTAAAGGAACTAGGATAGGACAGCTCATTTTTTTCCTCTTATTTTACATATTTGCCACTAGAGATCTTTAGAATATCTACTGAAGGTATGCTACATTTTGGCTACAATTGACTTATTCTTGCACATGTTTAAAAGTTGTTTAATAGTTCTCGTTTTTAAAAAATTTGCTCTGGCAAGGGAGCAAATTTTTTAAAAACGAGAACTATTAAACAACTTTTAAACATGTGCAAGAATAAGTCAATTCTGCGAGGGCGACTTGACAGTTATATTTTTAGCATGTAAATTTTTCAATACAGTTGCACTAAAATCATCTTATGTTTTTAGCATGTAAAGTTTTAAAAACGGTTGAACGAAAATCAGTTAATATGGGTTTTGTTACAAACGCTAAAAAAAGTTCGGATGCATTAAATGTATTCGATGAAAAATGTTGAAGATGTAGATTTTGAAATGATTTTTTTTTTAAAATCAAAATCTGAACTAAACCAAATAATTTATTTCCACGCATCGGTAGAGCAATTTCAAACATCGAAAAGCGACTAATAGTTATCAGAATTTAAAATCGGTAGAGCAATTTGAAACATCGAAAAGCGACTAATAGTTGTTAGAATGAAAATTTACTATTTAGAAAAAGCATACAGCGTTTGGAATGAAAACAAACGTCAAGTAAATTTTGAAATCTCAGATTGAAAACACAAAAGAGCTTATAAATAAACTAGCGTATCACGCACCTGCAGTGCTACAAACAGGTTAATAGACAACTGCTTTTATACAATATATGGTAAAAAAACAAAAGCAATTGGACCGTAACAATAGATGCAGTTATCCAATGACACTTTTGATTTCAAAAAATGAACGATAAAAAACTCAAAGGTTCTTTTAAAACTAAATGGTCAAATCTCAAAAGTTACTGGGTTTCAGATTTTCGTATTTTGAACTCAAACAAAACCCAAAAAATGTCTTAACCATTGCAATATACGATAAAGCTTAAATGTGAAAAAAATCTTTGGGTAAATATGCAAAAATAATACATTGAACAAGCTTAAACATGGCGAGATAGTGAAACCCGCTTTTAAATATAAAGTAGATAGATTAGTATGAAAGGAAGCAAAGAGATTGTATACGAGACTCAAGGCAAACGTATAAGCTCTTTAATGACGTGAGTCGGAATTTTTTACCAATGTTATGGTCTGGTAGCATTGATTGAGCATCTGCGAAATCTCAAAAAATAGCTGAAAAGTTCAATATATTTTTTTGTTTTAATAAGAATTAAGCAACAGAACGTGGTTCGCGGAAACCTTCAAAAAGCAGCGAATCCTTGAAAGCTGCTTACCCTGCAAATCCCTCTCGTATAAAATACTCTAAAGGTTTACTATAAAGGTTTAGAGCTAATTTACTTTTCTCGTTATTGAGCAGTATTATTACCCCTGCGATAAGCAAGGGTATTGCAATCGGGTACTAGATTTTTCCCCGTAAACAACTTTGTTACTAGATTTCAGCATCCATGCAGTACACGACATTCATGCAGTATGAGCGCCTTTTTGCGCTCATTGGTCTATTGCTCCCTCTGCGCATCCTTACTAGTGTATTTTTGCAATAAATTCGAAGTTCCATTTTTCGTAATGATATTTTTTTCGTTTTTTTTTTGAACTTTCGACTTGTCGCTTTCGCTTTATTTTTTGTGGGCTAAATTACCGCTTTGTTTTTACCATTCAACTAGATCTCTTATTTGAATGTTATTTATGGAGTTCAGAAGGCTAAATAAATCTGAATAAATTTACAACAGAAATTTTTGAATTTCTTGTTGAACAATCGTTCGACTAAATTTATTGCACATGAATTCGAAAATGTGTTTAGCGCTCACCCCTTTTCTTCAATAGATTGATAACTTTTTCCTTTAACTATTAAACACTTTTGTTTTTGTCAAGAGGGTAAATGTAAATCATGAAAATTATCAGTATTTTACAC